TTTTGAGTATTACAACTATGTTCCCCCATTTACTGCTTAATTTATGCTTTACAGTTGTTATATGACTTACCGGGTTAATTGGTTCGGGTCCGGCGAGGTTTTGGAATGAATTGGAACACTTAGTTCCAAGGTTTAAATCTTAAGTTAAAATACTGACCAGATATCAACTTATGTGTAAACGACCCCAGAATGGAGTTTTCATGATTCCAATAGCTTCTTATGGTGATTTTGGACTTAGGAGCGTATCCGAAAAATTATTTGGAAGTCCGTAGTGGAATTTGGCTTGAAATGGCAAAAATTGAATTTTCGAGAAGTTTTACCGGGGAGTTGACTTTTTGTTATCAGGGTAGGAATCCATTTCTGCGAATTTTCATAGCTCCGTTATGTCATTTATGACTTGTGTGCAAAATTTGAGGTCAATCGTACGTGATTTGTTAGGTTCCGACGTCGTTTGTAGAAATTGGAAGTTTCAAAGTTCATTAGGCTTGAATCTATGTGTGATTCGTGCTTTAATGTTATTGGATGTGATTTGAAGGCACGACTAAGTTCATATGATATTTTAGGACTTGTTGGTATATTTGGTTGAGGTCTCGAGGGCCTCGAGTGAGTTTCAGATGGTTAACAGATCAAATTCGGACTTACAACCACTTTTGGAATTTTTGCTTCTGGTATTTTTGCACCTATGGAGGTTTGATCGCAGGTGCGAAGCCGTTTGTGCGCACCATCCATCGCAGAAGCGAGCTTTCCGCAGAAGCGGAGCGAGCCTCGCAAATGCGAGCCCACATAAGGGGCTCCTAGCTCGCAGAAGAGGCTCCATTGGAGGCTTGGCGAAACCGCAGAAGCGGTTGAATTCTCGCACCTGCGAGACCGCAGAAGCGGCTAAGTGAGTCGCAGGTGCGGAACCCCTGGACAGTATACATTTCGAAAGGGGTTCCGAGTTTTGCCGTTTTTGGACCTTCAAGCACGGATTTTGGGGCGGTTTTCAGAGAGAATTAAAGGAAAACTTGAGGTAAGTTACTTGTGATCATTTCTACTCCATAATATTGAATTATCATCGAATAATCCGACTAGATTACGTGTTTTTGAGGTTTAAATCGGGAATTTGAACCTAAGGATTTGAAAATAAGATTTGGGGGTTTGGAGGTCGAGTTGAGGTCGGATTTTGGTAAAAATAGTATGGTTAGACTCGTGGTTGAATGGGCTTCGAATTTTGTAACTTTTGTCGGGTTCCGAGAAGTGGCCCCCACAGGCAATTTTTGAGCTAAATTTCGGATTTTGTTGGAAAATTAGTATTTTATTATGGGATTAATTCTAATAAATTTTATTGACTGAATCGAATTAATTGTGGATAGATTCGAGGCATTTGGAGGCCGATTCACGAGGCAAAGGCATAGTGGAGTAAATAATTATACGGTTTGAGGTAAGTAACACTTCTAAACTTGGTTCTGAGGGTATGAATCCCCAAAATTTGGTATGATATAAATTGTTTGGAGGTTACACACACGATAGGTAACGAGCATGCAGACATGTCCCATAGAAATTGTGTCTTGAATAAATCCTGTGCAGTTGTAAAATTAATGAATCATATTATTATCTGAACATGTTCCATGTGTTAGAGAAATTGAGCCTAGGCTCTTATTAAATATCGTGTTTAGGCTATGTGCCAATATTTTGGGACCCATAGGGTCGTGTTGCTGTGGAATAATTATTTCAAAAATATACATTACACACTCAGTCATATTCGTCCATTTTGAGGATATTTATGGGATCGAGATGCGCGCCGCAGCTGGCCATATTAGCTTTATATATGTTATCATTAAATGGATCGGGCTGCCCGCCTGCAGTTGGCCAGAATGGCTTTATACATTATTATTATATGGATCGGGGCTTCCCGCCTGCAGCAGGCCTTATAGGCTTTGTTATTATATGGATCGGGACTGCCCACCTGTAGTAGGCCATATAGGCTTTATGTCACGCTTGGGTTGAAGGAGCCCTCCAGAGTCTGTACACACCCCAGTGAGCGTAGATTATTATATATATTCGGGATAGATTTCCCAGGGCATGGACTTGCCTTACTTATTTATATTGTAATGAATTTACCTGGACAAGGATCTTGTCCGTATCATTTACATTTGGGGATAAATTACCCCAGGGCTGGATTGGCCTTATATGGTATTGAGTGAGTGACTGTCAGTCGATGTGTATATATATACGAGTTGGAAAACCCCTGGGCTGGATTGGCCATAAACAGTACTGAGTGATCAAATAATTTGTGACCAGTATTTACATGAGGTCTTTCTACTGGGATGTCATATTCCTCATATCATACAGTATTGATTTATTTTACTTGTACTGAGTTTAACTGTTGAACTTGAAAGCATGCCTACATTTTTGTTCCATTATTTATACTGGACTGTACCTGCAGAGCTTGTTATTACTTTTAGCCCAGAGGTTAGTCTTGTTACTTATTGAGTTAGTTGTACTCATACTACACTCTGCACCTCGTGTGCAGATCCAGGTGCTCCCGGATACGGGGGCTGCTAGATTTCGAAGTTAATTCTGTTGGGAACTATCAAGATAGCTTCTTGACGTCCGCAGACTTGATTCCTTTCCTGTTTAATTCTTGTACTATTCTATAATTTCAGACAATGATTTTTATCCATCAGGCTTTGTATTCATATTAGATGCTCATGTACTCAGTGATACCGGATTTTGGGAATGTTGTATTTGAAATTGTGAGTTTCTTCCGCTGAATTTAATTATTATATTTTCAAATTTAAAAGATATGGTAGTTTATTGAGATTGTCTACTTACTTAGTATTGAGATAGGCGCCATCACGACAGGTGATAATTTGGGTCGTGACAAGAAGAATAGTAACACATTTCTATATTTACAAATAATTTAACTTAAACTTCTTACTTTACCTTGATGAGAATTTATAGCAACACAAATATCTATAGCTTATTTTGACCGCAAGTTCCAAAAATCTTCCTTTCTTAAACTCCGAAGTCCAGTCAAACGTTGTCACATAAATTAGGATGGAGAGAGTAATAAAGAAGAATTTTAGTTAAGAGCACTTACAATGCAAAAGATTTTTCACCATTGTGTAATTTAACCTTTTATAACAGGTTATTTACCATTTTTTCCCATTAATATTGTTATATAGAGTTATTTGTAATTACCCTTTTAGGTGACGTCATTTCTTACTCCGTGATGCATAGAACTTAAACTGATTAAAAGAAATTCATTGTGCAGTGTGCTTCCAGAGGATGACTGGTTCGCAGAAGTAGCTCAAATTGCTATAGATATGCTAACTGGGAAAACACACGTTGGGACTGTGGATAATGTTAGCAGTCCTACAACATAATCCGTTCTTTCTCATGGAAGTAACTAGTAATATTTTACTTCTATCTATCTTCCTGAAATAACATTTAGATAGTAATCTTTAAATATTTCATTTAATTATCGATTAGAGAAATTTATTTTCTTAATTACACTCTGGTGTTTAGCTAAAGTCAACTTAGTTTTCTCTCATTGAACAAAAATGTATTTAGTTCTTTGAACTTTGTAATGCTTATAATTGATTAATACGAATGAATATTTGACTGTAGTCAAGCGCACCAGTACAACAGTACAACAGGCTTAGACATGTAAAACAACCATCATTCTATTTCTTTCTTTTATTGTTTATCGTTTGAGGAATAGGGATTCAAATGACCCTGTGCTACAAGATATGAAATAAGTACGAATTATTTACGCAATCGGTTGGTACTCGAAATGATTCCAAATCTAAAATATTGTCTTGCAAAGAAAGCCCGATGCTTATGTGAACCGTCCTCGACATCCCAAAAAGTCTAAACACAAACTCAATATTAGAGTTGCATAAACAATTAGACAAAAAAGGAAGAATTTCCAACTGCCCTTTATATTATCCAATGTATCAAGAAATATTCGATAAAACAAGAAGCAACATCTGCGGGATAAAATGCATTAAAACCTAGGAGGGTTGGATCTTCTAGAAATCCCAAAATTCCTGAATTTCCATATCTAATCATTTCACAAGTAGAATTTCAGAGAAGTGTTTTAAGTAGAGAAATCTGAAATAATTTAGACTTTCGGATAAAAATTCCCTTATATAAAGTAATTCATCGATCTTACCCATAATTCATGCTATGGAAACAGAGTGGGCAACTGTAAATATTGGATTTCACCATTCTTTTTCCCTTCACATAGTTTTCTTTGAAATTACCTAATATAGATTAGTATCTAACTGCTACTGCAACTTTTTGCTTCGTGTTCTCCATATTTTAATGGAAGTGGGATCATATCTAAGCAGAGGAGGATCCAAGATTTAAACTCTATGGGTTCAAGTTTAAATTTTTTTAACATTGAACCAATTATATTTTTAAAGTTATGGGTTCATATCTATTATTTTTGCAAGTTTAATAAATTTTTACACATAAACTTTTACTCCGCGTCGAAAGTTATGGGTTCAATTGAACCCGTAACTGTCACATTGCATCTGCCCCTGCATCTAAGATCTCTTTACTTCCAGGATTTTGAGCATATTTACATTTTAGAAAGCAGTAATAAAAGCATGTGTTGCAGCAAACATTTGAGACAGATTGCTGCATGATGAAACATAGAAGCAAAGTGGAAGACTCACTCTAGTAACTATTTTCTCAGCATTCAAACTCGTTATCTATATCTTGCTCGATATGCCATTTGCTTCTCCAGAACACATGTGAAACTGTAGTTGGCAGCAAGAGGTGCGCAATACTGGCAAGTCCAAGATGGATCCACATAGCAGTCTTGTCCAGTGCAAGAAATCATCTTAAAAGAGTTCTTACGAAACCAGAGGCGGAGCTAGAATTTGGAGTTTATTATGGGTTATGAATTTCAAAAGAGGCAATTTACTGGGATCTAGATAAATTATTTATACATATTAAATAAATTTTTTTAAAATAAAAATACAGAGTCTGAGCCAAAGCTATTGAATTTTGCCGAACCGGCTTGAGGCTCCGTTCCTGTATGAAATCAGCTACTTGTATATCCTCATAATACATTACGAGGCGCTGAAAACTCTATCAACTGGGAGAAAGGGGAGATATGGAGGCACAAGCAAATACACAAATGAGCTAACAATAACTTTATTTAATTGCCATATCCTGTGGATTACACTGTTTGTGCACCTATTCAAGGGGATCTCCTTGCAATCCCAGTTGCTGATAATCCACATAGTCGATTTCATTTAACCGTACATAATATAAGACCTCTTCTGCCAGTTCTTCAGCTTTGTTACCCTGATTTGAGAAGTTAAAATATTGCTTACGATTGATCTCCAAACCGAAAAAAGAAAAGAAGAAGAAAATGACACAAGTATTTGAATTATAGAACATATAGTCACCTGAATTATGAGGCCTACATTCAAGCAATAGAGCTTTAGCCTATCTAGGAATATTTTCAAACCCTTCCTAGAAATGAAACTGAATCTGTACATATCTATATCAATCTCAAAATAATTTTCTCCCTACAAAGAGACCATTAGCAACTCAGTAAGAACCTAAGATTTCTCCTTCAATATGCTAGAAATGAGACAATGATACAATGTTTGCAAATTAAATATTTTAATATCAGATCATATTACGCTGTGAAACAACATAGTTTATGTAACAAAAATATGAATTCTCTTTCGAATGAGAATTAGGAAAGGCCATGTAATAATGTTTTATACCAAGAGAATAAGAATGTCTACCACACTTCCAAGTTCCAACACCAAAATGGTTCGTGCTCTTTTCTTCTAAAAAGAAAATCTCAGAGCCAATAGTAGACTCTTAATCGAATATATTGTCTTAATCATTGTATAACACGCAAAATTTATGGATCCCTCATCAATTGAGGATTATCTTTATTTCTACAGGAAATTAATTTCATTTTTCTTAGACTAAAATTTTTCAAGGAAATGAAATCTCCGTAAATCATTCCATCGGATACAAGAATAATAACAATTTTTATTGACTCGTACTAGTGCCCACATGAAAATAGGAGTACGATGTACGTCCAAATCTAACTCAAAAGTGAAGAATAACAAAATATGGCCATTATACCTTATAGAATTCATGTTGAGGACGTGAAAGAACAGTCTTTTCATTGTAGGCATGCATAATCTTCCTCTCTGCTGCACTTAACCGTAGGTCCTCCACATTTTCTACACGACATAATATCTTCAAACGTTCCCTATAGGGAACAGTACCATCTGTTGGAAAAGCCTTCACTTTTTCCACTTCATCATCCATTACCCTCTGTTCAATAAGAAAGGGGAAGGAGGAAAACTGTAACAACCAATGTAACGACCTAGCCGGTTGTTTTGAGTATTATAACTCTGTTCTCCCATTTACTGCTTATTTTATGCTTTCTAACTATTATGTGACTTGCCGGGGTAATTGATTCGGGTCCGGTGAGGTTTCAGAATGAATTGCGACACTTAGTCTCAATGATGAAAACTTAAGTTGAAAAGGTTGACCGGATGATGACTTATGTGTAAACGACCCCAAAATAGAGTTTTGATAATTCTAATAGCTTCATATGGTGATTTTGACTTAGGAGTATGTCCGAAAAATTATTTGGAAGTCCGTAGCTAAATTAGGCTTAAAATGGCGAAAATAAGAAATTTAAGTTTGGAAGTTTGATCTGGGAGTTGACTTTATGATATCAGGGTCGGAATTCAGTTCTAAAAATTTTCACAGGTCCGTCATGTTATTTATAACTTGTGTGCAAAATTTGAGGTCAATCGGACTTGAATTGATAGGTTTCGACATCGAATGTAGAAGTTGGAATTTGTTAGTTTTCATTAGGCTTGAATTGGTATGTGATTCATGGTTTTAGCATTTTTTGATATGATTTGAGGCTTCAACTAAGTCCGTATGATGTTTTAGGGCTTGTTGGTGTAATTGGTTGAGGTCTCGGGGGCCTCGGGTGAGTTTCAGATAGTTAACAGATCAAAATTCGGACTTAGAACAATTCTGGAATTTTTTCTAGTTCTGGTGCAATCGTACCTGCGATGGAATTGGTCGCAGGTGGGCGACCGTAGAAGCGACAATAAGGTCGCAAAAGCGGATAGGGGCTGGTGAGTTAGTGGTCGCAAGTGCGAGGGAATTTCCGCACCTTCGTGATCGCAAGTGCGAGGGAATTTCCGCACCTGCGTGATCGCAAATGCAGACGGGGAACCGCAGAAGCGCAAAGTCTGCAGAAGCGGACTGGGTCTCGCAGAAGCGAGCCCACAGAAGCAGCTCCAAGGACGCAGAAGCAGAGGCAGTGACAGGCTTGGCAAACCGCACAAACAATTGGTTTCTCGCACCTATGAGACCGTAGTAGCGGCTAAGTGACTTGCAGGTGCGGAACCTCTGGACAGTGTACAAAAATAGAGGGTTCCGAGCTTTTGCCATTTTTTGACATTTCCTATACGGGTTTAGGAGATTTTTGAGCGAGAATTCACGGGAAAACTAGAGGTAAGTCACTTATGATCATTGTTAGTCAATAATATTGAATTATCATCGATTATTCCAATTAGATTACGTGTTTTTGAGGTGTAATTTGAGAATTTGGACCTAGGGATTTGAAAATAAGATTTGAAGGTCGAGTTGATGTCGGAATTTGATAAATTTGATATGGTTGGACTCGTGGTTGAATGGGCATTCATATTTTTAACTTTTGTCGGGTTCCGAGACGTGGGCCTCACTGATGATTTTGGAGTTGAATTTTAGATTTTGTTAGAAAATTAGTATTTTCATATGGAATTGATTCCTATAATTGGTGTTGACTGTATCGAATTAATTGTGATTAGATTCAAGGTGTTCAGAAGCCGATTCGCGAGGCAAATGCATATTGGAATAAAGAACTTGCACGGTTTGAGGTAAGTAACACTTCTAAACTTGGTTCTGAGGGTATAAATCCTTGAATTTCGTATTATATGAATTGTACGGAGGTGACGCACATGCTAGGTGACGGGAGTGTGGGAGTGCACCATAGAAATTATGACTTAAATAAATTCTGTGGAGTTGTATAATTAGAGAATCATGTCATTATTCGCATATCCTCCACGTGTTAAGAGGAAATTGAGTTGAGACTCATGGTAAAGATCATGTTTAGGCTACATGTCGATATTCTGTGACCCACATAATTGTGTTGCTATTTATTTATTTATTTGAATTGTAGTTTTGTACTCACTTACATTCATCATCCGCATATCATATCTTAGTCTCTGTTGTCATTCATTGATACATCATATCATCAGGTCAGGTTGATTTTCATGTCATTGAGAGCCCGAGAGACTGGAAAGTTTTAGTGATATTATATGGGATCGGGTTGTATGCCGCAATAATTTTTATTTATTATCTTATCTGTTTTACTGTGTTCTTCTTCTTGACCTCCCTTAGCTTTCCATCCTTGCTTCTGCTTAATATATTTGCCTTGCAGGTGATGTGCAGACTTGGAGGGTTGTTGATGGGCTTTAGCTTGACAACAATGCCCCAATTGTAGGCATGAACTATAGTAAAGAGGTTTCCACTCATATTCAACATTTTGCATAAATAGCTTTCTTTAGGATCCTTGAGCTTCACCTTTGTAGGTAGTGACCTGGTGATATCCATTTTCACAAGAATCCTTGCATATGATATATGATCCACTTTGGTAGTACAATCATCAGCATGGATAGGAGTTCCTAGACTACTCCCTATCCTGCTTAATGTTTCATTTTCCCAACAATTGAGTGGTAAGTTGGGAAGTATCACCCACAATGGTATAGTTTTCAACACTTATTCATTAAAATAAAACTCATCAGTCCAAGCCTTTGTAATTACTGGCCTGCTATTGATGGTGTATGGCCCTGAATGCAAGACTTCCTTTCTTTCCTTCAAACTATTGAACTTGACCACAAAGTAACCCTCATTGTGGTAATATATTTTAGACTTAGAAGTAAAGTTCCATTGGAATGCAATAAATCTCTCTACTTCCCAATGCTTGGGGCCTCCCCTACAACATAGAGTATGATAGCATATTTCCATTTTTCAGTGCCCTTTTCAATCTCAGTCTGTTGTAGCTCCACAATTGGTTCTCCATTCTGAATTGTAGGTGTAATGAAAGTTAAATCCATACCTCGTGCTGCAAATTTATTCCCAATGACAAGGTTCGCCCATGTCTTCTTCCCATTTGAAGCTTGTTGATGCTTTTGCTCTCCCTCAAATTCAATAGGTTCAGTTGTTGCCTTATGTCAATTGCTCCTTCCTTAGTATCCCCCTGGCCTAGGTTTCCCCCCAATCGATTAGGCATTAATTCCTTCTTTGATTCTAATTTCGTCTCCATAGGATTAGGGATTGCCATCATCAATTGCTTGGCTATGTCCGGAGTTCTCATGCATGCATCCTTCGATTGCGACTCAGCAGTCACTCCGACGCCAGAGCTCGTTTCCTCCATAGATCCCATAATTATTTTTAGTGTAGTTGCTGCGGCCATATCTCGAGTTAGGGTTCCCTGAGGTGATTTCCCTTTCCCCGTTGTTCTTCTTATTGTAGTTATGAAGTCTACAAGCTGCACCTTTGTCGAATTTCGTTTTAGGCGTCCTCTTACCCCCTATTTGCGACGGGCGCAAGTTAGCGACACGCTAATCGTACGTTGAGAGCTAGAGAGAGGAGAGAAGTTCTTGGCTTATGATAATGTGTGGGGATGTTCTATTAAATTTATATATATTATGTTTTCAAACATAAAAGAAATTGTGGCTTATTGAGGTTATCTGCTTACCTAGTATTGAGATAGGCGCTATCACGATATGCGAATTTTGGGTCGTGATAAGTTGGTATCAGAGCCTAGGTTACATTGGTCTTACGAGTCATGAGCAGGTTTAGTAGAGTCTTGCAGATCGGTACAGAGACGTCTGTACTTATCTTCGAGCGGGTGCCGAACCCTTAGGAAAATTTTACTTTCTTGTATTCTGTCGTGCGAATTTGTTGATTTCGGAAACTAAATTTCTGTTATTCTTTTTTCTAACAGATGGTGAGGACACGTGCTACCGGATCAGATGGTCAGCCACCAGTGCCACCTGTTAGGGCCACGAGAGGTCGGGGCCGTGGTAGAGGTCGAGGCGTAGCTCACATAGCAGTTAGAACAGCACCTGTAGAACCACCAGTTGCCCCAACTCAGGAGTAGGTTCCAGATATAGTTGAGCCGATGGGGCCAACTCAGGCACCAGCTGTGCCTATTGTGATTCCAGGCCTTCAGGAGGCTCTAGCACACATATATTGACTGTTTGCACTGGCCTTGCTCATGTGGTTTCAGCTCAAGTCGCACCAGCCACTTCTCAGGCTGGGGGAGGTACTCATACCCCTATCGCCCGTACTCCAGATCAGGTAGTACAGGGACTTCAGATACCGGGGGCACTACCAATCCAGCCGGTTGCAGCTGCTCAGGCCCAGGTGGGTCCTATTATGAATGACGAGGAACAGAAGAGACTGGAGAGATTTAGGAGACTCCATCCTCCAACTTTCTGTGGAACTAAGTCGGAGGATGCTCAGGATTTCTTGGATAGATTCCAGCGGATGCTTCATACAGCGAGTATTCTAGAGATCAGTGGGGTCTCATTTACTACTTTTTAGCTGACCAGAGCAGCCTTCAGATGGTGGGAGACTTATGAGAGGAACATACTAGTTGGTGCAGCACCACTTTCATGGCATGAGTTCTCTGTATTATTCCTGGAGAAGTTTGTGCCACAGACCCGCAGAGAGGAATTGCGCAGGCAGTTCGAGCATTTATGTCAGGAGGACTATCCATGACTCAGTATTTGATGCGATGTTCATAATTGGCTCGTCATACAGTTTGGTTGGTTCCCACTGAGAGGGAGAAGATCAGGAGGTTCATTAATGGCCTCAACCATCAGTTCCGTTTTGTTATGACTCTGGGGAATGTAGCAGGTGCTAAATTCGATGAGGTGGTTGACAGTGCTCGATGTCTAGAAATGGTCCGTACTCAGGAGCGTGAGGAGAGGGACGCCAAGAGGTCTCGTGGTCCGGGTAATTCCAGCGGTGTTCCTTCTGGGGGACAATCCTATCACAGCAGGGGTCGACATTATAGGCCCTCTCAGATGGCTCGTCCAGCTCAACGTGGCGCATCAGCTAGCCATGGTTCATACAGTGCTCGACCGAGTTAGTCTTATCTTAGTGCACTTCCAGCTCAAAGTTCATCTCATGCACCATCAGTTTAGGGTTCATCTGTACCAGGTTCTTCTGGTAGTTATTCTGGTTCTCGAGGTCCA